CTCTCTCTCTCTCTCTCTCTCTCTCTCTCTCTCTCTCTCTCTCTCTCTCTCTCTCTCTCTCTCTCTCTCTCTCTCTCTCTCTCTCTCTCGGCGTGAATACCCTTACAAGGGTATCCGCCCTGTTTTTTGCAAATGATAGAAAAATGGGTTTGGTCGGCATAGGTCGGGCGAGGTACGGCCGCGTCCGGGACCCGTCCTGACTAAAGTTAGAAGGTACGTGGGCGCGCAGTTTTAAGGCGCGCGTGTGATTTTTCTGATTGAGTGAGCGGCCGGTCTAGTCGACCGACCTGGACCGGGCTACGATTTTGTTTAGGGGATGAAAACTCGTTTTTGATTGGCATGCGCGATCGACGGTAGGACTGGCACGCCGGTAGGCGCACGGGGCGGCCACGGCGCGGTCTGAGCAGGTTGGCGCGGGTGCCTGGTATTGGCACGCCGGCTGCGGTAGGCAACGAAGGCCTAGGCTGTGGCTCCAAGGCCGGGGCACGGCGCGGCACCATTTCGTATTGGAATCCGCGCCTAGTTGTCCCAAGCTTGGGCCTAGCCCTATAGGTTACGGCGGTGGACTATTACTGCGGAGGCTTGGGGATCGAGGCCAGCATGCGGCGACGAAGGAGCAGCGGATTGTTGGGGAGAACTGAGGGGTTGAGGGCCCGACAGGGCTATCCCCCTCGGTTTTACTGGCAAACATGACCCACAAGGCTGGTGGCGTGACGACCGATACCCATTTCCCGTTAGCGGTCCTTATATACCCACTTTTCTCTATCTTCCTTTATTTTTAGTTTTATCGAACGGACCCGTTCTGCTGGGGTGTGGCACCGCGGTTGCTGATAGGACCCCGAGGACGCGGTCAGTGGGTACACCACGAAGTTGTTGAAGGTACGGGCTGTGCTCGAACCCAGGTGATGGCAATTGGTGAGTAAAAGCCCAGGCGGTCGGGCGTGCCTGGGGTCGTCCTAGAGGACCGTGGGGTATCGACGTAAGCAAGCTCCTTGGGGCACCGGGAAGAAGATATTGGGGCGGTATAGGGGGGGGGCCACCACGGGGTAGAACACGACGCTCTGGGTTGCCCGGGCCACTCAGATTGGGGAGAACCGTGGGGTATGGCCACGGTGAAAGTCCTTCGGGACCTGGTCGCGGGCCCCGCCAGGTTCAGGCGAAGGCAACGGGATTGGCCGGCCGGCGAGGCGCGATTGTAGGCGGGGCGACAGCAAGGAGCAGGCGGTGTCAGGGATACGGTGTGGAGAAACCCAGGGAGGGGCGCCTACTGTTCGCTGAAGCCAAGGGCAACAGCGCCTGTCACTCGCTGCGCCCGCTTCCGAGGTCCTCAGCGACCAGTAGGGGATAGTGGGATGCTTCGTAAAGTTGATATCTGGCTCAACCCTTGAAGGTCTTATAATTTTTCTGATTTGTTGGACTAAAGATACAATTATTGCCCGTAGGCCTGTACTTAGAAGTTTGCTTGAGCGAAGGGCAATTCGACAAAATGAAATACGCGGAAGCGCGCCAGCGGAAAGAGACAGATTATGTGAGTAAGAGTTAATAATAATTCAGCACAAACACTTGGGACATAACATCTCTTTGAATGCACTGTATGAGTGTCCGCCAATAGACAGTGAATACCTGATTACCTTATGAAAAGTCGATCTGCCAATGATAATTCTTGATTTGCCATTTAACAGAGACTGCTTGACCAGTCAATGAGCAGAGAGTATTCGATCAGTGAATGACTGTTTGATCAGCCAATAGGCAGGCAGTGATTGACCTGCCAATGAACAGAAACTGCTTGATCAGCCAATAGGCAGAGAACGACTGATCTGTGAATGACTGTTTGATTAGCGAATGACTCTTTGATCAGCCAATAGGCAGAGAACGACTGATCTGTGAATGACTGTTTGATTAGCGAATGACTCTTTGATCAGCCAATAGACAGAGAGTGATTGATCTGTGAATGACTGTTTGATCAACCAATAGGCAGGGAGTGATTGACCTGCCAATGAACAGAGTCCGCTTCTCTCGCTCATATCCCCCTGACTTGCGCGCCTGCCTAATTGGCCTGTTCCAGCCTCTGATCCGCTGACTGTTCGATCAACCAATAGGCAGGGAGTGATTGATCTACCAATGAACAGAGTCCGCTTCTCTCTCTCTCTCTCTCTCTCTCTCTCTCTCTCTCTCTCTCTC